ATAAAATTCTTGTTTTGTTTTTTTAAAGTGCAGGCTCATCTATAATCTGATTGGTTTGGTTGATGCAACTCATATATTTCTTTACTAAATTTGTTTCACAAAGCAGTCCCATAACAATGAAATTGTCAAGAGCAGCTATCTTCAGGAAATTTGTGTTATTTGTGTATATGAGAATGCTAGACAAAACACAAAATTAAGTGACAAAGAAAGGGAAAATATATTACTGGTGTCCTGCATTTGCTTATGGACACATTGCTTGGAAAAAATCTATTGCATATAGTATTGGATCTTTTTGGATCTTTTCTAGCTCAAATTGGTATGGGTCCTTTCTGCCACTGTTAGTAGGCATGGGCCCTTTCAAAGCCTGGAATCTAAGAAGAGCCCAGTCTTTGCCAGGGATCCCTGAATGAGGTTTGGCTTTCATTGCGTTACACTCTTAGGAAGAGGCCCTTGGGGTTTCCTCACTGGAAAAAGCTGATAAGCTTACAGGAAACCAGAGAAAGGTACCAAAATATCGGACAAGGGAAGTCCACAGACAGGGAGAGTCTCAATATTATTAGATGGCTATGGCAGGCATCATTCCAGCTGACAGATACTAGATATAGAATGCTAAGAATGGGAATGTACCGGGAAAGAACTTATGTGAGCCTGGAGAAGACCACTGTCTGGAATCTGGCAACATGAATAGAGGACTAATAGTTTGCCATTGCAGGATAGTGGGAGCTACTGGTTCCTTACAATCTTGTTCTTGGATATAAAATCTATTTCCAACCATGTCATATTTCTGTGAGTAACCATCCGAACTGTGTTCTTCACTAAAGGAGACACTAGAACCTTTCAGCTGGGGTACATTGTTTTGCACCTTGTAGTGCAAGTATTCACACCTAATTTGTATAAAGAATATACTTCTGATTAATTAAAAATCCTAATTAGATCAAATCAGCATGTGCCCATAACCTGCTGTCATGTACCGTGTTTCCCCGAAAATAAGACCTTCCCCGAAAAAAAGACCTAGTACTTTTTTTTTGAGAAAAAAAAAATATAAGACCTACCCCAAAAATAAGACCTAGTTGTGGCCGGTGGTGACATCAGGGGTAACTTGAGGAGCCGCAGGAGAAGTGGGAGAGATTCAGCTGAGCCAGCATAAGCCGCCAGCATAAGCCAGAGGAAGCGAGGCGGCAGCAGAGGGAGCAGAGCCGCATAAGCCGATGCTTCCTCCATAGCGCCGGCTCCCGTCACAGGCGGAGTGATTCCAAATGTAAGGAATCATACTGTAGTGAAAGCACTTATTCACAGATCGGTTACCAAACTGCTGAAAGATAAGTGCAAAAAGAAAGCTAGCTTTCTTTTTGCACTCATCTTTCAGCAGTTTGGTACATTTAAAAAAAATGTTGTACATTTAAAAATATATATATATATATATAAGACCTACCCAGAAAATAAGACCTAGTGTGCTTTTTTGAGAAAAAAATATATAAGACAGTGGGGTTGATTTACTAACCTTATAAACACACCACGAACGTGTATACACCTCTGCAGTGTGTTCCCTCCCAGCATGATCTATGGGTGGAATCTAAACACCTTTGTAATGTGTACACACCCAGCAGGTGTGTTGTGCAAAGCCCTGAATGAATTCCAAGGTGATGTTGGGTAAATTAGCTCTATGTTGTGTTGCTTGCGTTGATGAATGCAAGGAATGTAAATGCATGAGCTAACCATTTTTGTCTAAACTGTGAAGCAGCATTATATATGCATCATGTGCATGATTTTTCCATATATGGCATTAGTGGAAATATGCTTTAAGAGACTTTTTGGTTGATAAATACGTTTTGCTGTGTGAAACTCACACACACCTGGTGTGTGTGTGTGTTTAGGTTAGTAAATCACCCCCAGTGTCTTATTTTCGGGGAAACACGGTAATATTACTGAAGATTTTATCATTGACTGTAGCTCTCATAGGATGCTGGCATTTGCATCTATAACATTATAAACATTATCATAGTTTAAAATCTGACTTTGTTCATAATTTGTGATGGTTAAATTATACATACTAAATATTAAATATATCAATCAACATTTAACAGGAAATTCATACTTTTTTTCTCTTCCTGTTTGTTCACATTTGTCAACACTTCAGTGTGAAATGTGCAAACGTGTTTTGATATTTTTTTCCTATCAACACATTAAAGAATACGTGGTTCTCATGCTTACATTTGAGAGATTTAGTGGTATATTTCCTGTATTAAGAAGTATTGCTTGTTATACAGGATACACATATAATAATAAAATAGACAAAAGCTACTTTCCAAATGACACACAAAGTAAAATAACAGAAGGCATCCATGAGCTTGAAAGAATTATATTTCTGAGAAATACAGATTTATGTTGTGTGATTATTTTTTAAATAAATCACAAACATACTGAAGGGCATCAGAGAGCTTAAAAAGTGGAGTGATTCATACTATGAGATACTTGCATTTTCTTACAATCTAAAAATGAGAATTATCCTAGGCCACTAGGTCAGACTTTACTGTACGTCACACTACCAGTTATTATTAAACATAGCTTGTAGTTATCCTATAGTTTTAAAGCATTAAAGGATAGTAAAAGAGACATATTCTCTGTTTAAAGAGACACATAAAGCAGTTGTGCCCTGAAAAAGATGCAGTCTGTAAAATATGAACAATTGTGTTATCTTCCACACAAGTTATGTACCTAAGGGCTGTTTGAATTGTCAGGAAAAAAACAAACATTGGAGTGCACAGATCATATCTCATTTGTATTTGGATGCTCTGTGATGACCCTTCATGCAGGGGAGGACCTGGAATGTTGGGTCTGGGAGGTAACAACCAACCAACTGACCCTTTCAAGCTAGGTGTAGTTTCCTGTGGGCTAAAGAAAGTGCCACATACAAAATGTGCGAGGGTACCACAGTAATTGGTGGTCATGGTAAAACGTGGGTGTTGTCTTGAAGAACATGATTTATTGTAGCAAACCTTTTTACATATAGTTGGTAAATAAAAGAAGGAATTGTAAAACAAGAAAGTATGTTATGAGCTGAACAAGATAATTCTTGCTGTGTAAAAATGATGTGAAAGACACTTGTTCTGCCTTCAACAGGCAAACATACATGCCATATCAAAATCAGCCACAAGAAGGAACTGAAGAGAAAACCTCTCTATTTACAGCAGTTTGAATGGGAACATATACCAAGCTAAAAGAAGGTGTTATCCAAATTCGGCTGAAAAAGTGGAAATACACTTCATGTAAATCAGCCCCACAGAGTGGCGATATAGTCAGTCTAATAGGAAAAAGGTAAGAGAGCTGAATACTAAATTCATAGTGTAGTGGTAAAGGAAATGCATAGAAAAATGCAAATCACATGTATAAATCTAGTCAAGCATGTTATAGTCTCATCTGATTTTTTTTATTCAGATTACTTGAGATTATGTCAATGTAAAAATAAAGAATATTTGCAATTCCATTTTCAAGATTCTTAGGATTTCAATGCTAGAATAGTATGCTGGACAGTTCTTTGCCTTTCTTTTTAGCGTTATAGATCACACATGGCATACCCCGGTAGTCTCTTTGGATTAGTGAATTCAGGTATAATCCTGTTCTAGGCATGCACATTAGGGAGCCTTATGAATTTTAGACTTCTGATTTACAAATGGTGAACTTTATTTTTCAATAATAAAGAAAGACCAGAGGAAAATTCTGTATCTCCGACTGCAAAAATGCTTTCAGAACTTTTTATAAAAACTCAAATAAAACTTTCCAAGCAGAAAATAAGTGATTTTTGCAATCACAGCTTGTGACACTGCTTATCTGTCTTGATGTCCTCATTAAGTAGAACTTAAACTGTGTCATTATCTTTGTACTTTATAGCAAATGTTAAAGAGATGCAAGTTAGTCTATTCAGATAGGTAGATGTGTTCAGTGTCGGTGCAATTTATAATTTAAAGGGAAGAGAGAAGGTAAAAATAAACGTTTCACCTTAAAGAATCAATATAAAAACAGCTGTATTCAGTTAATATATGTAAATCCAGAGTTTTATGAGAACAGATATTTGGAAATAACACAATAAGAATAATAATATAGGATTGATTTACCAAAGAAGTAAAGACTGTTTCACTTAGCAAAGTGAATGTTCACTTATGTTAGTGGATGAGTAAAAGCTGTGTTTATACCCAATCAAAAAACAGAAATTTTGCTTGGACATGATTGGATGATTGAACTAAACACAGCCAGGACTGGGCCCTGTACAGCCTACTAAACAGCCCCCCTTCTTCCCTACAACTGAAGCTGTAATTAGCTATCAATATATTGGCTAATTAGTTTTGCAAATGTAATATGAAACCTGCTAGCCACAATATTAGGTAGGGAAAATTGCCATATACCCATATACTGGTATATCACAAAGTATCAGCTACTTTAACAATTTGTAAATTGATTACAGATATCCTTGGATAAAATAAACAACTGTACACCCGCCTTTAAATCACATAGCCTATGCTGTGGCATGTCCTCTGAGTTTTCAGTAAAATATGAGGATCATGTCAACATAAAACTGGAGTTCTTCTTAAAAGTTATTGTTCTGTTAATGAACACAGCACAATTTGCTTCTGTACTCATTATACAGTTTTGATGAGTATATCCTAATCTAGAAGATGACACTTCCCTGTCTTTTAAGTGGCAAAGTAAGTGAGTATTTACAAACAGAAATAATGTAACTAGATTTGTACTTCGCAAACAAATTGATTACATTTTTTGGGGTGATATTGTTCTATTCTGGTTAACTGCAGATTTCTGAGAAAATCTCATCACTGTGCAATTAATCCATAATTGATCCTTTAAATCTTTTACTTGGAACATCATTTACTCTTTTCTTCATGAATTGAAAACTACAGAATTCAAATAATTATAACAAGTTATAGAAGCCTATGTATGTAAAGTAAGTTAGTCTTAATTTCACTTTAATTATCATGTTTAGAACTTACTTCTTGGTTCTCGTGGACCATCCACAGTTACTTTGATGGCTCTGTGATATGTGGCAACTTGCGTCGGACTTGTAAAAACGGTGATTGTCAAAGTGAAACTTTTGCCTGCCAACCAAAAGAAAATGATGCACGTTAGTTTGTTTTTAATAGGTGAACAATGATTACTTCATGAATGTTAGGATAATGGTGTCTTTAGGCTGCAAAGCCAAGAGTTAGGTCGTCCAGTATGAGATTTCTAGGGTTCTGGAGTCACAGAGAAAAACATGTAAATCCCTGTACCATGCGCAATGTATATGAAACCCTAAAACCCCAGAAGCAGATTCCTCTGTACTAGTGGTAACTCATATTAGCCTAAATAAAACAGCTAATGGGAAGAAAATTATAGAGGTGGTGATGAGTTCCCAATTGGCCAGACACCTAGATCTTGGCTAGATCTTGCCCTTGACTGCATTGTCTGAATAATAGAAAAAATAGTGTCTTACCAATGTTAGTTAGAACATGGTTTCTTGCACAGTTCTATAATAAATTATACATTTAGCAGAAAGTGGCATTCATAGCCTGCTTGAGCACAATGTTTATATTACTGCTTTGTAAATTTACCAATTTTAACAATCTGGGAAGTCTGAAGCTTTAATAGAAAGAGAGATGTGGATGTGTATTCTGTAAAACAAATATGATTATATAAAGCAGCTCAAAGAATAGGTGCACTTATTCTTCTTCCCCCCTCCACTGACCTCACAGATCCCACCCTCCCCCCTCTACAGATGCATACTTACTGAGATCTGAGGCCTGGGAGTGTTTGTTTACATCCCACACCAAAGTCCTTTCTCTGCTGGCTTTGTCTGCACAGCAGAGTTCCATGTAAGTCTATGAGACTTGTCTGCCTGTGTCTCCTGGCCCTTCATCTCCCAGCTTCTGACTGCTAGTCTTATAGGATTTGGAGTGACATTTGGTGATGTTGCTACTGTGCTGATCACTGTTCTCCTTGCTGGAGAGAAAGCTGTACCAGAGGAACTGAGGACAAGCATCTTCCTGCTTCTGTTTAATTAATTCTGTGGATCTGTGATTCCTTCACCCCTGCTGCTGCTTTTAGAATATTACCCCACCAGTTATCAGATTCCCAGTCATCTGGAAAGGGGGCAGCTCTGATATAAGGGAGCAAAGCCCTGTGCCTCTACCAAGATGGCTAACACTGCCACAGCACAGTGTCACAGCACAGAATAAGGCATGGTATGTCAGTAATAGGAACTTAAGCAGTTGCAGTAAGCCTACAGGCAATAGTTGTGATTAGAGCTTTGTCTTCAACTTCTCTTTTTTGGGCACAGCTTTCACAGTACAGGTCTCCTTCAATTCTTCCAGCAATACCAATACCATATATGGTTTACAGCAATATGATATTTGATATTGGGAGTAAGCTGTTTTTAAAGTATAACACACATTAAAACACAACATCTTAAATATCTAGTAGTTGTCATGCACCACTTCCAATTATCTGATCACTTAATTGACCATTAAGCAGAAATGTTTTCTACACTATCCTTTCATTCACTATATGACCACTTGTGGTTGGCACCAATTTAAAGCAGAGAGCAGTAGCTTCTTTGTGGTGTGTAGTGATTACAAGCAGTGGAAATGTTGGTCATGTGCTTGCTTTCTGGGTATGCTAGATAGGGGTCTATTCACGAAGCTGCTGAAGGATCTGGCCGTAGCTTCGGCCGATCCTTCGGCTAGCTTTAGCCCCAGGACCCCTTCGGTTCAGTAAAACCGATGGGGTGTTGTACGGGCTATTCACAATAGCCCGTACAGCTCCCGATCATGACTAGGCGGCTCAGCCGAGCCGAACGCATATGCATCGGCTCGGTGAGCCGTGCTGAAAGCCGAAAGCCGGCCGACAGCCTGCTTCTGACAGCTGGGTGGAGCCAGCCGTTATCTTACGGCTGGCTCCGGCCACTTTCAGAGAGATCAGCGTCCCTGGTTACCTGCTAACCAGGGACACTGATCTCCAAACAGCTAACTCTCCTTGGCGGCCTGGGAGTCTCCTGCTCCCGGCCACCATAGTCTTTGACAGCTCTCCAAAATTGTATAAGAAAAGTCCACCTTTACATCATTTTGAAGAGCAATTTTAGGGAGCAAGTAAAACTGATCATTGAAATGCTAATGCTATCCAACAAACATTTTAACTCTGTTAATCTCTGTCCACCCACTTTACCTTAATATGAGTTCTACACATTACACTGCAACCACATGCTTTGAAGAGCACCACACCAATGCGGTGGACAGGTCTGCGCCATACAACTTTCCCTTTCTCTATCTCTCTCTTTCTCTCTCCCTCTGCTTGATGTATCACCGATCTGATTACTGACATTTTAATATATCAGTCATTCTGTAAGTGAGAGATGGCAAGAAGCCTGCAGTGGGTGGGTTAGAGAATAGTTCTATTTCATTACAAACAGATGTGTAAAAGAGGTTCCCAAATACTTAATTGCTGCTCAAAGGAAGTGGGTGGGCTAATATATTATATTGTCTTTATGTCTTCTAAATGAAAACGCAATGCAGGTAAGTTTTGCTATACGCTAGCTTAGCTTGATTTACTATATTTAGCAAAATGACAGACCCTTTTCTAACCTCTACCTTGTTATCACACTTGCAGATGATGTGTTTCTAGAAACAAAAAAGAAGGACAGCAAAAAAAGACCAGAGGAGCGGGGGACCCCGAAAACTGTGGCAGGGGGGCCTGGACAGGATTACTTGTATGAAAACGAGCGGTGACTCCACACTATACATTTAGCTCTGCTTGTCCGGAGCAGGGCTAAATGTACAAAAAATTCTTGCCCGGCGCCCGAAACTGCATGTCCCGGGCGTCGGGCGATAGGGATTCCACACCCACGTGTACACTGTCCGCCCCGCCGCCTCAGCTCCCATTCCACATTCGCTCCATAAGACACACAGACATTTTTGCCCCGCCTTTTGGGGGGAAAAATGCGTCTTATGGAGTGAAAAATACGGTATTAAAATACTAAAATATTAATATTAAAATACTGCATTGTCTAGGGCCATATTTACTGCATTGTCTAGGGCCATATTTACTACATTGTCTAAGGCCATATTTACTGCATTGTCTAGGGCCATATTTACTGTTAGCCCCAGTAGTCTAGTTTTTATCGGCGTCAAAGAGGCATTTTTTTTTAACTGTATAGTTATAAAGCTGACCACATACATTATAATTTGATTGCACAGTCTTGGTGTAATCTTATTAGATTTACCAACAGATTTACCACAGAAAATTGTGAAATCAAATTGTAACATGCTTGGCCAGCTTTTTGGACTTTTTTTCCATCATCAACAAAAAGACAGTCATCTAATCTGAGTTTGTTTTTACAATTTTCTAAGACAGATTAGAACAATCAAACAAAGAAAACGGAGTAAAAGAAGTAATCCTAGCAAAGGCATGTGGCTTTGGGCAATGAAAGACTTCAGTGAGGGAAATCCGTTGCTGATCACTATTGTTTCCTCAAGATAAAACAGTGTTGGAGGTCTGCACCTGTTTCCCTTCTGCATAAACAGTCATGCTCATGACATATGAATATGCATGTTCATGCAGCAATTGTTTAAAATAAAAAAAAAGGCTGATTGTCTGGACCTGACACTTCTGACAAGCATGTCATGTGGATAGATAGCTAGTAGGGAAGAGTTAAATCCTTATTAATTATTACAGGTTATTCATATAGTGCCATCAATGTATACAGCGCTGAATATACTATTCATTCACATCGGTTCCTGCCCTCAAAGAGCTTACAATCTAGGATCACACTTACTGGGGCCAAATTAGAGAGGAGCTAATTAACCTACCAGCATGTTTTAGAGTGCTTGAGAAAATCCACACAAGCACAGGGGGAACATCCAAATTTCATGCAGATAGTGTCCTGGCCAAACCTGGATTTGAACTAGGACAGTGCTATAAGGAATATGTGCTAGCCATTGAGCCATTATGCAGCCTCACTAGGTTTTTTGTTGTTGGTGTTGTTGTTGTTGTCAGCACCCTGCCAGGGAGCTTTCCCTTCACCTCTTTTCTTGGAGACACATCAGCAAGTGAAAGCAAAGCTCCCCAATGTGAGAGGAATTCTCATCTTAGTTGTCACAAGGATGTTTGTTCCCTTTGGAAGATCTTCCCTCACTTCTTTCTCTCCTAGGAACTTTAAAATGTAGAATTTTCCCTTACTTTTTGTCTCGCTAACAATGGTAACTGGGGCTAATAGAAGGGTCAATCTCCCCACATAGGACACACACAGAAATAAAAAACTATAATCGAACAGTTGATGGGACACCTACGATTTTACTGTAATCTCCCTAGAATTTTCTCAAAGGGTGAGGCTGGAAAACTTTTTTCGAATCGAACGAAAATTAAAGGATTAGTGGTGTTTTCGTACGGAAAAAATTGCAGCAAGAAAATTGCACATACGCAAACGAAATTCCATTCTGTCGATGAGCTGGTATTGCTAACGAACGACTATCGAAATCGACATTGGTCTATGCTGGATGGGCTATTTGAGCTAGAATCGAATGAGGGTTCTTGGCAGCAAGTACAACAAAGTCCTTGCCCTAAAACAAGGGTAGGCCACCTTTGGCCCTCCAGCTGTGGTGAAACTACAAATCCCATTATGGATCTATTTCTCAAAGTCGTGCCTGTGGCTGTCAGAGTCTTGCAATGCATCATGGGATTTGTAGTTTCACCACAGCTGGGGAGCCAACGCTTGCCTACATCCGCCCTAAACTATCACATACTTGTACCCAAGACAGGCTCAGCTCATTTTTACTATAATATTATAAAAATATATCAATTTAGTGCCTAGATCACACCAAAAACAGCTTTCATTGTGGTAACAGCATACAAAAGCCTTGTGATTAAAATAAGAGCTCTATATAGCCTTATATCTGAGTTTTCGAAATTACAGCAAGATGCACCAATGAATCAGTTCAAAGAACAGAGTTGGAAATTATAAAGCATTCCGGTTTGGAAATTTGTTTTGGAAGCATGTAAAAACTCTAACAGGATAATTAACTGCAGAAATAAGAGCTTAATTCATAAAAGGAGAGATTTTTCCATTTGCCAATGTGCAGCCAGTTAAGTGCTGAGTTTGAAAGAGAAGAAAATAAAAATACACATCTTTTAGAAACCTAAACAAGAAAACGGAAATGTTACAGAAATGTAAGCAATCTGGGCGAAGTGAAACATAACAAGTAAACGACAACTACATTCTTTAAAAGAAAAATTAGGCTATACGACGATATATGGATGTAAAAGACACATAACAGGGAACATTTGTAGCTGTCAAAACAACAAGCTTTCCTTAGGATTTTGGTCCATGGCGCAAGTTTTTGGTGATTAGTTAATAAAGGCGTGCTGGGTGCACTTATATTCACTTTGAACATCCAATAATGTCAAGAGGATATTTAAAAAAATAAAAAATGTTGTTGAACATGACTGGAATGAGTACAGCTTCCTTAACTTAAGTGGAAATCTTTTTTTTTTTTTAAATTACTTTAAATGCACCGTTCAGAGACAAAAAAATATGTTTTTTATAGATTTCAGACATCGGCAGGAAATGAAGTCAATCTTAAGCTGGCCATACACGTATAGATTTTCAAACGGAAATTGTTTTCATTGCTGCCAAGAACCCTCGTTCGATTCTAGCTCAAATAGCCCATCACGCAGAGATCAATGTGGATTTTGATAATCGTTCGTTAGCAATACTAACTCACCGAATTTCGTCAATCGACAGAACAGATTTTTGTTTGCGCATGTGCAGTGTTCTTGCTGCAATTTTTTTCGTACGAAAACGCCACTAATCCATCGATTTTTGTACAATTTGAAGAAAGTTTTCCAGCCTGACCGATTGAAGAAATTAGTCCAGAAGTACTTAAAATCGTTAGTGTCCCATCAACTGATCGATTATCGTTCGAAAGACCATTCGTGGATGATTTCTAAACAAAAATCAACGAAAACAGAGACACCGGCACTCCAATGTAAGCGTGAAAATAAAGTCTTATTTATTGAAGAAATACGACATGTCACAAAGACGCATCTTTGTGACATGTCGTATTTCTTCAATAAATAAGACTTTATTTTTACGCTTACATTGGAGTGCCGGTGTCCCTGTTTTCTACTGTTGTATGGCGGTTGGCGTCCGTCGATCACCGCAGCACCCATTTGATTTCCCTTGGAGACAAGCGGTCAGGAGTGCGATGGGTTCATGGATCTATTGTAAAAAATAAGGCACAGGAAGCTGGATAATTTTTTGGAGACAAGCGGTCAGGAGTGCGATGGGTTCATGGATCTATTGTAAAAAATAAGGCACAGGAAGCTGGATATTGACATACAGTATAGGGGACATTTACGAATGCCAAAATAATTTTTTTAATATATAAAGGGCATGGGCTATCCATTCCTTAAAATTATTGGATCTTGTGACTCATCTGACTTCAGGGCAAAGGCTATGCAATTCATGAAATTTGCAAACCCATGGTAGTGGCGAACCCAAACCTACCGTATTTTGCGCTCCATAGCACGCACCTGACCGTAAGATGCGTGTAGTTCCTGACAGCTGAGACAGGTGGCGCTGTGATTACACAGAGCAGACGAAGAACGTCCGTTCTTCGTCTGCTCTACGGGCTCTATGGTGAGCTCCTATGCCGTAGTCCCGGGTCCCTCAGAGGAGGGGGGAGGGGGGCAGACATCATCACCGCTGCTCCTTTCATACAAGTGATCTAGATCACTTACACACTATACATTTAGCTCTGCTTGTCAGGAGCAGGGCTAAATGTACAAAAAAACGATATGGGATATGGGCGATAGGGATTCCCTCAGCTCTCACACATTCGCTCCTTAAGATGCACAGACATTGTTGCCCGCCTTTTGGGGGGGAAAAAGTGCGTCTTATGGAGCGAAAAGTACGGTACTTTGAATTTCTAGTCATGTGCAAGAGAAATTAAAACAGGATTATTACTTGCACATATTTGGGTGATTGAAGTAAACACAAATTCACCTTAATTGCTATGTAAACAGTCTCTAATTCTTTAGTAAACCTACTCCAGAGTAGTGATGAGAATCTACAATTATTTGTTTATTTTATAACATGGCTAACCCACCAGTAAAGCATAAAACCATCAGTTGGCATAGCAGTTAGGCTGAACTCAAAGTTCCGATTATTGTCTGAGGAATCTACAGAAGAATTCAGCATGTAATTCAACTTGCCACCAATCACACAAAACTTTACTATCAGTTTTTAGTGGGAATGGGATTTAGGCGCTTATTATTAAAAATATTTACTCCACATGAAGTCATATTCTTTATGTGCTTCACTAAGCAACTTGACGCAAGAAGATTTTTGCTGTTTCGGACATGAACATATTGATATGCAAATAATCCTACTATACAAAGACATTTTTTTTGTTCATGTTTCTAACATAGGGTTAATTGAGATATTAAGATCATATCATATTAATATTAAGATCATAAAGTTAGAATTTATTCACATTCGGAAATAGTCAAACTGAAGTGTATAACCCACCTCTTCCGCTTCTTCCTACAAAACGGAGGTCATTGAATCTGGCTACTTGGTTTTTCATGACAGCAGAGGCATTCCTTAGCTCAGCTGAATAGTTCTCATCATTTCCAGCCATGACGGTCACTACTGTTCCATCAGCGATGTCACCCAGCGCTACAACCTGAAGATATGAAAACATCTAATTCACTTTCATTATAAAAATAGATCATTTATTGTATGTGGCCATAAGGATTCATAACTTGTGTCAGAGCATGATGTCAAGGCCCTTGAATAGCAATGAGCATGCAGCAGTGTGTGCTTATATTGTATGTCACTAAAGGAGTTGAAAATCTTGAAATAAATAAACAGAAATTTGTTTCATTGGTTAATTGAAATTAATTAATTGCATGAAAAATTCTAACTCACTGCTTTCACATGCGCTTGAAATTTAAAGTGATTCACTTGATTCACTTTTGTAAGAAATAATGCTGCTAAAAGGTAAAAAAAAGTGGGGCTGCTCTCATAATACAGCCAAATGCCATCCATTCTGTACGGGCAAAACCTGCACAATTTTTACATGCAGTTTGTAAATTGTGAGGGGTATTCAAAACAGCAAACACACGTGCATAGAAAATGCAATATATGCTTTTTTTTCACATATTAGTTCCTCTACCCCTAAAAATGCATGTTGCTGCACCCAAAAATACTGCAGGTCAAATTTCTATTTTCTAAAAGCACATCCTTGCTACTAGAGCAATTAACTTACCATGTAACAGTTTGATATATAAAAATAGCATTGTAATGGCAAACTACAAAGCAGACATATGTTGTCATTTTAGATTAAATCACAGTAGTCGTTAAAGTACATCTGACAAACATCTAGGCTGCCATTGATGACGACCTTTTGAAAATGCTAGTCACCTGACTGTCTCTGCCTTATTATGAATCACTGACCTGGTAGGTAAGTGAAGTAAAGATTTTTGTACCTGTTCCGGGTCAATAATAGATAATTAAGCTAATGGATCAGCATGGAAGCTAGGCAACTGGCATTTTTAGAAACAGAAACCAGCATTGGCAACCTACATGTTTCCTTGGTTCAGTTTTACATTACAGCAAATTCAATTCATGACTTTGACTCATGAATACACTGCATGTATAACCTTTTTAGTTGAGGAAATCTCTACATTCCATGCCTATAAAGAAAAAAGGAAACTGAAGTATAATAGAGCCAATGAGCGCCCATTCATACTGGGACATTGTGGTAATGTTCTATAAAATGCTCCTTTTTCTGCAACGTACAACAGTGCAGTGCAGCACAACACATTTGCATTGTAGTGCACAGAAACTCACAGATGTGAACCATCTGTGGTGCACTACGTAACAAAAAGTGTCCAATTTTTAGTGTGTTGCGGTATGTGTCATTTTGAATGAGCCCCCTTAACACTACGCACAGCCACCTATGCAAATTGCCAGGTGTGTGTTGCCACAATGTTCTATGTGTGAATGGTCCCTAGTAGTTTGAATCTGAAAGCACTGAAACATTCCAAGATTTCATGAGCAAGCATAGTAATTTATAAAAGGCAATTTAACATATTTTGATAGGTAAGGACTAAAATAATGGGGACATGCTCACACTCCCAACTCATTTTAATATAAAAATTAAGAAAATTCAACCATTACCTCTCATAGGTGAGATGGACACAATGAGCCTTAGATGCAGTATATGTTTTTTAACCCAACGTACTAGACATTTTTGGAGCATAAAGCTATCACAAACCTTAGCAATTTATACGTAGCATATGGTGAACATGTATAAGTAGAGGTTACCTTTGGTCACAACAATCAGGAGATCCAACTGTATCCACCAAATAATCAACTGTATTTATATGCTAATCTCAACTTTTCCTTGGCCCCATCCCTTTCGACCCCTCAAGTTTTCCTGTTAGTCCTATGAATGATCTCACTGACCTATTTGGAAGCCTGCGGTGGGAAGAGGCAGGGCCAAGCTTGACCTACAGAAAAGTCATAATGTGCACTTACATGTTTCTGTTGTCTATACCTCCGGATCAGCTGTTTGTTTTGATATGCTATTTTCACTAAAAGTAGCCTGTGTTTGGCATTTTTTCTTTACATGCTCAGTTTGACTTGCCCTGCTTTGTGACATGTTTACTTTAAGTTGATCAATGCTATCATTGTTTTTAAATTTGATAGGAATTAATAGGAAGGAGAGGAATTAATCTGTACAAACAATTGGTTACGAACTTACAATTGACATAAGCTAGCCATACACCATTAAGATAAAATTCACTTGATTCTCCCTTCCATGCTAAAGAGCATCCCCCCTGCATCCCCATGGCTGTTAGAATACCTGAACAGTGACTGCAGATAATTAGAGGCAGTCACTGTTTGGCTGTTAATTTTCCACCTGGTTCCTTGGACAAAAGTCAATTGAAAAGTGAACTTTTGTTGGCCGTGTGGTGCTGGCAAGGCCACCCATGGCTTGAATTTCAGTTGTTGCAATAAAAAAACGGCCAAAATTTGGTTTGTGTATGGCCAACTCTAGTTTTGATTATATGAAAATAATCAGGATCATTAAGGTAGTTCTACAATTTTTTAACCTATATCTGCTTTGAGATTTACACATATTATAAAACATCATGTCATATATTGAGTATATTTTTTAATCCATAGAACGTAATGTTTCTATCTCACCTTTTAATGATCACATTAGAATCTATTCATACTAAAATACTATTTGCAATGTTCTCTATTCAACCAGCTTACTTTAGCTCTCTTAACTTTGGCTAAGTGTATAGGTTTCGATTAAATGTTGTCTTAATGCTGTGGTACAGTATGCATTTATTTCTATCTTACTCTGTCTTGCCATCTGTCACTTACCCTTCTTATAAGTACACTTTTACCTTTGTGTTATGATATGTGTCTTCATTCAAGCACTTTCCAGTCCTAATACTTAGCATTAATAATAGTCATAATGATTTATATTGTTTATCATACCATTATTGATATCAAGTATATTTTAGAAAGTTCTTTTAGTTATTATTTTATTAAGTTATTTTAGAAGTTCTTCACTCTCAGTATATTTTTTATTGAGATTTGATATACATTAAATGGCAGAATGCAGGTCTCCTCACATTTTTCACATAGAAGTAGTAATTGACTAGCAATCGCTCATGTATCAAAAACTCGGAAGTATTGGTGCTGTACAGCAATGAGGATTTGACAAAATTGTATTTTATATACGTGCCCTTAAGAAAAAGCCTCAAGTATCGGGGACTATGATAGGTGATGTCCTTTTTATGAGAAAGGATAAGAAGGACAATAGTGGTCAATAGGAGAAGGAAAAAGGACAAACTTCGGGAGAATTAAATGAGAGACCTTTTCTGTGACATCTTTGTAAGTTTAATTACTAAGATAATGGGGATCTCATGTATGCAGGGTCTGATAAGAGCATTCTCCATTTACGTTCTAGTAACCAATAGCTTCTCTGTTTCCTCTTATTAGGGTAGATTAAGTAAAAATATATGGGAGACAGTAGTTGGTTTCTAGGAGGGACACATTTCTTAAAGCCAGATATTAAATATATATAAATACATGAGGTGTGATTATCATGTTTACAATTAAAGGGTATACAGTAAATTCAAAGTTATCCGGTACCCATGGGGATTGGTAGATGCCGGATAACTGCAGTTTCTTGTTGCTTGAGAGTTGCTATTAACTCTAAAGCAACAAAACTCCACCCTATTCATCTGCTGGCTAGATTCTGCTATCGGCTATTTCAAATTGCCATAGCCAATAGCAGGCTGGTTGTTGCACACACCCATTGCCACAGCCAATAGCAGGCTGGCTGTTGCACACACCCATTGTTTACATTCACCTGCCAGCTGCGGAATCTAGCCGCAGCAAGTTGTAAACAGAGAATTTTGTTAGCAACTAAATAAATGTACTTGCTAACAAAATATTTAGTGTGCACATGTCTATCAAGCAACTGGCAAAAACAATTGAGGACATATTATGTCCTCGATTTTTTTCCTCTGGTTGCTTGAGAGTTCTGGTTGCTTGAATGCTGGATAATGGGGAGTTTACTGTATATAGTTTAATTTGAAGCATGCATGAGAAATCTGCAATTCTTTGAAGCCTTAAAACTTTCCAGTATGTCCAACCTTTTTAATTTTGTTTCCTGTTCTTCTAGCACTATCTCCTCCATTATTCTGATATTTGCTTCCTGTATCAATCAATGTGCTAGAGATGGAGGGGTCTATTCTAGCACTAAAAGTGTTGCCCTAAACCTGTCCAACCTACATATTTTTTGCTTCTAATAAAAAAATGATCAAGAGAATAATCAACTAATTTGCACTTAGTTAGCAATAATTATCTTTGCTGTCATAAACAAATATCTGGATAGAGATTTCTCTAAATATTTAAGGATCAGGGTTCTATAAGAATAAAGCCATTTATTGCAAGCTGTGTATTTTTAATAGTTTAACATTAAAGTGAGTGCCAGAAAAGTTTTTACACTGGGCCTTCCCACCAAAATATGAGTCATAGGCCCTTCTATCAAAGTAACATCTCCGGCAGAGGTCTGAAGTTTTAGGATGTAAGCTTTTGATCATTTCTGGTATATTTTACCATCTTGTTTTGATTTTACAGCAGCTTTCTTGTCCCTTGTTGAAAATTGAACATCTTTCTGTTTATAGCAATTAAAGAAGATTTTGTCTAATAATTTTGGGCAAGTTTTTCTTAAACATATGAGAGTTGTCATTAATTCTGTAATATGTTATATATTAATAATAAGATCACACATGCAGGTGTGATTGTTTGCAGACATTTTTACTTGGAGGGAGTTCTCTAGAGATATATTGCCCAATCTGGCCAGCTCAGTTTTGCAATGCGCTGCATATGGATATTCAGATGGCATCTGTAGCATGGTAGTAAGGTTTAGTATGTTTTTCTTTATTGTGTTTTATCGCTAATTTAGATATACTAAAAACGGATGTTTCTCAAACCATTATTAATGACCCCCTCAAATACAGATGACTAATGTAGAGTATAACGAATATAACGATTATAACTGTCATTTTGTCTTACTAAGGTTTCCTATATTTCTAAGATTTTGTGGGTTATTAAGGGCATGTTACAAAAACTTGACCTTCTAACCTTTGGTAAAATGCAAGGAAGCGATGCTAATGATCTAGCTGCTTGAATTTCTTTTACTAAAACCTATATATGGGTTTATCACATAACTGACAGTGCTCTAGATAGATGCACCGTTGCAAATACATGAATTATGTAGTCATAAGTCTCTTGCTCCTTATGACTCACTTTTTTGAGAAGAGCAAATATATTACCAGTAATACTTATAATACTTTGGACAGGAATTATATTTTCAGGTTGATCCTTCCATTCCATAAAAATGTGTGTTTTTTCCATGGACGTAGACCATATGTGATTAAAGGCTTCTGGGTTCACAATGCAGACTGAATATTTAAAAGATATTATAAGGTATCTGAACCAAAAGGTATATAATAATTTCACCTTTCTATGCAAAGTAATTTCATATTTGGGTTGGGAGGTATTGTTCTATCAATACATTTACTACCGTATATACGATACTGTAGTTTACATTCCAGGGCTGTCAAATTATTTATTTTTGAAAGGGCAATTTTAGGATATGTAACATAAAGTAGCAGGTTGTTGGTAAAGAGTTTGTGCTCAGTGTATCCAGTTTTTATATGTGTATACATGCAGATTTTTTCAACTAGCTATGGCCAGGTTTTACTTTGACAAAACATTCAGAAAATCTACCTACAGGCATTAGAGGGTGGTTAGATGCGAAGGACTGACGATCATCCACAGGGCAACAAATCTTCCAGGCACCATGGCGTAATAAATATGTAAGGTCGGCTCTGTTGATGGAGGAGATGACATCCCAATTGTGATCAGGACATGTGTTCTAACCCATGAATGTTACCTTTGGAGGGTGTTTGAGTACGGGTAGACTATTACCACATGTCTATGGGCTGTTTTAAGATAATATGAGTATCCTTGTCAATTTCTTCTGGAAAATGTTGTGGCATTTGAGAAGAGTCCAGTTATTTATATTTTGAACATAAGAGTCTAAATAGAGAGGCATTCGGGTTGACTCAGCAAAGGAATAGAGCATTTATAAAGTGATTGTTCATTAAGGTTAGTGAATGAGGTGGAGCTTTGTTCACTTCAATCATCCATTTGTGTGCACGCAATACAAACATTTAATGGAATAAAACACATAGAATACACAGGCCAAGAAAAACAGGGCATATGCAATACTTACAATCTTGAGAAAGAACTCTAGTAAGCATAACCATTGAAACCATCTATACCTATAGCATCTCAATATCCTTTTTTTTTATTATTTCTCTTGCACAGTCAAAAAGGACATGGCTCCACCTTATTCACTAAACTAAGCTAACATACTTTGCAGAGTGACCATTCAATTTGCTAAGTCAACAGTCTCTACTCCTTTAGTAAATCAATGCCATTACCATCCGGTGCTTACTGGAAGTCTGTCAAATGCCAGATTGTCCTAGCGTGAGTTATTAAAACAAGGGTGTAAGAATTCAGAAAAGGTATGGGGTTGATTTACTAAAGGCAAATATGTTTACTTTGCATGGACATTTTACTTTGCAGGGGAATTTGCCCTTTGTTTAGTAAATGAAGTGAAGCTCTGCTGACTTCCATCATCAAATTATGTGGAACCAAAAACAATGTTTTTTAAAATATTTTCCTTGCACATGATTGGGTATTCCTTGCATTGCCTAAATTTTCACCACATTCACTAAACTAATGGAGAGTACCCCCACAAATTGAAAATTCCCTTGCAAGTGAATAACCCCTATGTGTCACTAGTTATTGTTTGTGCTGGGTATCAGGATATTACTTTTTTTGTCAGAGGATCTCTATTTATCTGAAAAAAATGCTCTTCTAAAAATACATTTATGTCTCTCCCACATACAAAATGGTTAAACCTCCATCTCTGCCATTAGAACAATTGCCTATATGTTTAGTGAAAATATGAAAACGGAATATTATACTAGGGTATGTTCTGATTATGGAATGTGCATATGGGGCTTTCGGGATGCAACAATAACAGGTGACATAAAAAAAAAGTTATTTTCACTTTAAGATTTGTAGATTTCTGAGTAGAAGCTTTATTCTTTATCAGATGGGTGGAGGTTTTTTCTCTCTTTTTAATGGTTCTGTAGTACTGTTTTTGGAACAATCAATAATCGGCTCTAGTGTTATATTGAAGAAAGAAAATATGGTTGTAAAGAGCAATTTTGAGAAACAGAAATCTCTGTCTAAGGCCACATCTTCCTGGGATGTATAAAATGAATGAATATATTGTGATAGTAACATTGTTTTTCTTCCTATAATAGTTCTGAGTGTTTAATATTATGGCTTTGGGGATGAAATGTCTTTAAATATATATTAAATACTGTAAATGTATTTGTTGTTCAGAAGGCTGTACAAGATCCTATAACAATGTGTAAATATATAGGTTGAACTTGATGGACCTGTGTCTTTATTCAACCTCAAATACTATGTATAGGTATATTCAATATATCAATATATCTATTTAATCTGTCAAAATAAAAAAAGTCTAATTGTCTTTTACTACTGCCAATATATCTATCTATCTATCTATCTATCTATCTATCTATCTATCTATCTATCTATCTATCTATCTATCTATCTATCTATCTATCTCTTAATCCATCCAATTTTGTGCACAATTGTATTGTAAAAACAGCTACTACTGTATATGTTTGCCTGTATGTCTGTCTTTCTAGCATAAGCTTGCAATAATAGCTACATCAATGACTGTATTATTTTATAAGCTGCCTGAAGCAAGTCCCAGCATAAATATTTTGTTGTTTTTTAAAGGCATCAGTCCTCAAATTTCACACCTTATTTCTTAATATTTAAAATATATCAAGCCAAATAACATAGGTGTTGCTAGAAACTAGTTTCACAGTTGTCATTTCTTTGAACTGCGGATGGTGTAAAGGCATTCTACAGTACCGACTTCAAACCTGCATTATTGTCACTACCTGTGTTAACTTACGCTGTTTAGCTTGTATATGTTTTTTTCCAACAAAACTTCTCCTTAGATGTGTGTTTCTCAGTTCAAGCTTGTCTGACCACAGAGATCTCATATTTAGAATGTGTTAAATACCAGCCCACTAGTTTCCCACCATCAGATAGGTTTTAAAAAAACCTTGATCATGTACTATATGTTAGGTTTTTCAGATGGTTTACAAAATATGCATTTATTACACGCCTAAGTGTGACAAAATCTTTCAAACTTATGTTAATGTCATAGTTTGTTCTTGCAGTTCAAGCCTTTTTCTAATAATAAATTGTTTGCCTCTACCTACAGATTTTATAATTTAATTATTCTAAAGTGATTTACAAAAAAGTATACATTGTGCACTATACCAGAAGACCTGCTTCAAAGAACTGTTTGGCTTATAGGGTTATAAAAATATAACAAAAAGTATACTGATAATTTGACCAACACCAAAAAGCAAAAAAATATGAAATGATCTTAAAGGAATTATTCCTTAATTGTATAATGATATTCGCAGCCAAATATTTTACTCTTATCCCTCATTTTAGTATGTATTTATTTTTTCCTATAATTCTAATTTATTTGGATACTTTAAATCACATATTGGGCAGTCTCACGTAGGTAGAACTCACATATGGATTAACTGGGGTCATATAAATGCAGCCGTAAAACAATGTATAAGTAATGAGGTTTTTGCTGAATTAATGGTTATAGCAAGCTGTCTTTTTCTGATTATTAAACATGATAATCTTTGAAAGGGAAGAAGGAGTGACACTGAGGTTAAGTTGCTGGTCTCTGAAGTGGTGTACCAATTATACCAAACCATACTCCATAACCATCTCTGATTCACTGAATTTGGTTTAGGAACACCTTACAATTACCTTGAGTACATTTTACTGCATTATAATACACACTGATTGTTTCTATAGTAGTTATTGGTATTTACGTTATCATATATGTTATATGTTAGTTTTTTTTTTAAATTACTGTAACAAGACACAATATTCTGCCACCCCATGTTGCTGTGTATAACTATATAAATGTAAACATTTATTCCAAAACAAAGTATGTGTCTCAAAGGTGTTAATGGTTATATCCAATAGCAACTAAAGGGTATTATATATTTACAATATATACTAGAGCTTTCAATGCTAAAACAGTAATTTTATATTGCTGGCCTATAAAAATGTAGAAATTCAGACTAAATATATTTCATGATGTATTAATATGTCTAATGTTATATTTAGTGCAATGCCTGCTAAAGTGATATTAGCATTACTGGTTTTGCCGAATACAATAGTATGAACAGTACATTTTCTTTTTGAAAGTTAAACATAGAAATTATGAATAAACAACAAAAGTACACAATGCACATACATGCATAAACACAGCACCCTCATGTAAGTTCCTGGAGTATAAACAGACAGCAGAATGCATACTTTATATTTTTCAAGTCACATTACCTTAAAGGCTACCGGTAAGGTCTTATTGCATCTCCAGTGTGAAGGCAAAACGGAGCAGAGGAAGTTGGGGCTGTCAGTCCTGACCAGTTCTCCTGCATGATCCGCCAGGACATCCACCACCGTACGTATCTCTGTTCTTGTCCTCCCGGCACCTGAGGAGCTTATGGTTCCATTGCTGTCTCCCATTTTCCCGCAGGAGAAAGAGGTGGATGGAGGAGTAAAGCGCCGGTTGGTGCTGGGGTCTACAGGAATATGCATTACAACAGCAGGAGTTAAAAAAAGCCAGGCACTGTTTTCTGTTATAACAAGTCTAACGTCTCTTTCTTTAGCTCTAACCAAGAGCCCTCAAGAGAAGGCAGTAACTTCTCTCTTGAAAATTATCACTAATCTTTGCAGAAAAGAAGAAGAAGAAAAAAAAAAAAAGAAGAGTCCAGTGAAAGATCAGAAGCTCAGGAAGTGACTGTCTGATCTGAAATCTGCAGGGGTGGCAAAGAGGAGGGAGCATGTGAAGAAATGTTGCACCCAACCTTGCACTCTCAAGTTTCTGCACCCTCCTGTAGCACCAAAAACCACAAGTTAAATGTCACAAGGTCTAGCTGTAGCTCAGATCCCAGCAGCAGCACTGCATACAAATGACACTACATAAGCACTGAGCAGTGGTGGAGCAGCCTGTTCTTCTGCAATGGTCCCTTGTGAAGTATCAGAACAGGCTCAAAGCAGATTTTTTTCGACTTAAATAGATGCAGGCACTCTGACTGCTAAGAACAGAAGATTTCTTTATATTGCAGTCCAGAAACTCTACAAAATGTGAAAAAGTATTGGAGAAAAACAGAAGTTAGCACACATCTGTCTTCTTCTTCCTGATGTAGTTCACCAAAGATGCAATGTCAGCTTAAAAAAGACTTGGGGGTGGTGCTGGCTGTGTTATTGATGGTTAAAGGTTTCCCCGAAGATTTTATTTGCAGAGCTGCACGGTTATGGAACAGTCCATTAAAGAAAAGTTACACTCTGTCCTTTTTTTGCAGTGGCTAAAAGGCAGGCAGCCAGCGTGGATAACATGCAAAAGTAAAAAAGAAAGTTCCTTTTTTTTCTAATTTATTCCAAGTAACAGAACATACTAGATTCTTATCTCATATATAATTAGCATAGAAGGAAAAGAAAAAATCCCAGTAGTTTCCTTTCTACTGATCTGCCAAGAAAAAGTGTAAGAGTGCTGCTCTGTCATGCAGCATTTACACCAAAGCTGTCACTGAGAAGGGAGGAGGAGAGAGTGAATGGCTAAGCACCATGTCCCCATCTAGTCCCCTGTTAGGAGAGCACATGCTAACACAAGGGGGAGTGCCTGGCAAAATAACTCCCCCTGCAAACTCACACAAGCAGCTCTCGGCTTTAATGTATAGCTTATAGTCCAGTCTGATCTCCTCTTACCTTCCACAACTTCAGAACCACCAGGAAATTAATAAACACTGTAATGGCATTATCCTTTATTTGTAAATTTGATTGTTTTTAAGAAACCTCATTGATTGTGCTACAGTTTGTCTGTGGTTAGAGACCAAAAAGCAAGCTCATCATTCCAGGGTTTCCAGGGTGCAGAATAAAATATCTACTAGATACAATTTCTACTGGATGAAACAAATTATCCAATAGATGACATCAAATGTTGGGCAGGGTTTTTCTTTGGCAGTACAAAAAATAAAACAACTTATGTAGATTTGCCGATATTTCTATACTTTTATAATATATAATATGAAAAAATGGCTCTGTAACATTAAACAATAATATAGATTAAACAAAGTATTTTCTTTTATTAGACAATATCCCTCTACTAAATTAAATAAAGCAAACTGATTACATATACAGTATATATAAATCATATATATATACACTGTATATACAATATATTTTTATATTTACTGTATGTAATCTCTCTCTCTCTCTCTCTATATATATATATATGTAAATATATAATCTATTATCTATCTATGTATCGATGTATCCATCTATCTATCTATCTATCTATCTATCTATCTATCTATCTATCTATCTAATACAAAATAATTATGAGTTGAAGCGTCCAAATGCATTACATAACTAATCTTTCATGTGCAGTATATGTACATTCGCTATACAGTTTACTCCTAAAATTAGTCAAAAAGAGAAACACTTTTCCTGCCTGGTTTTGCTGTCTTTTACTGTAATTAATAATTCATATTACCAACAGTTTTGCATTAAAAGGCAAATTACTTCATCTTATGAATGATCCTTTAAGCCTTTCCTGGTAATTTTAGCTGTGTTTTAAATGTCCAAGCACATAATACACCTTAACATATTGACGTAATAGCATTACGGTGAGTGTCTTGATATTTTGGTTTTCTCTAATATTGCAATTTAACACGATTAATGTCACCAGTAAAAGAGGAAATATTGACCTTTTTATTGTATTGAAAACTAAAACATTTACAAAATGAAAAATAATTTCTGATAAACATATTTTTCGATGTGTGGATGTTTTATCAGAAGATGTACATTCTTTTATACAGAGAACATAAATTAAGAAAATACTGTAAATAACTAAAATCCCTTTAGTATTCTGGGACTGATTTACTACACAACTAAATTTAACCTAACTGTATTAGTTGTAATACATTTATTTAATAAAATAACTGCAATAACTTATTTAAAATGAAATAAAAATGAGACTTTGGGGGAATCAACTGTTCTATCTTTTATCTAAATTTCAAATTAAACTGACATTATGTGCACAGGAAAAAGTTCTCATACATAACAGTGAAAAAAAAAAAAAGGTATTCTTTGGCCAACAAAAATTAGCTGGCTCTACTGTATATAATGAACATGACGCAAGCAAATCAACCAGCATGCTTTTACACATACAGAACGACTAACAGCTTTGTCTAAGAAGCACAACATTGGTCTATACACTAAATCATGTGGCTGTTTTATTGATAGAAGAGCTGTCATGAGTTAACATTTTCTAAGTCTAGTGTTTAAAACACATCATGCTTGTTATTTGTTCCAGACATGCCTTTACATTTTGCTAAGTAACTCTATTTCATTCATTTCTCTGTGCAATAATACACATCAGGTATATTCCTAAGTGAAATACAGGATGATTAATAAAAAGGTGACACTTTGCATCAATGCCAACAACTGCTTTTAGCATCCCCAAAAATAAGAAAATGACATTTCTCCAAACCTGATTAGGGGATTAGAAGGGGATTAGAAATTGAAACATGTTCCTGGTATTCAGTGCTGTCTTTAAAGCAGTGTGGGCTAGCTTATGTTACCATCAATTCAGTTACATTACACGGATGCGATGTGACTTCAGGACAATATGAATCTCTGCAACGTTCACCTATAGTACATCGTACACTAATCTGACTTCCTGTAGTAAACATCATTTTCTGCAGGGACTCAGCAGGCACTGTTTACAGTAGCAGAACCCTATAAAGTAAGCTAGGAGACAAAACTAAGAACTACATTAACTACAATAACTGTATTGGTATTTTTGTGGTTATATCTGTAATTCTGAATACTTTGCTAGCAGGAATGTAGATACGCTGCAGGTTCACCTATTACTGTATATTATAAAATAAGACATTGAAGACAGAATAGCAATGTAAATGTCATGTTTTCCCCAACAAAAGAATAAATGCACATCACTTTATCAGTTAAATAAAGAAACATGTTCTCTTTCATTCTAGCAGTTCCAAGTGGAATGCAATCATATAGACAAATATCACTGTGCATCCCGCAGTGTTGACTATTTGGCAATTTCCAGAAGGGCTGCTTTAAAAGTTCTCAGCTCCATGATTCTTTTATGCCGCTTTCAGTGTCAGGGATGAATGAAGTAGGAGCCAAAAACGACATATTTTCCACTGATGATTGTTCAGCAATAGCAGCGTGATTTCTTTATCAAGTAAAAACAGTTTTAGCAGACAGGCTCTGTCAGCTTTACAGCACTGTGATGTTCCCTCACAATCCTGTAAATTAATAATAATGATTTTAAAAAAATAACAATAATACTTAACTTACATTTTTGCTTTAAAGCTGAACTCCAGGTAAAGAGATAGACAGCTGAGGTTCATATACAGGTACATATACAACTGTTTTACTTGCCAGAGCATTTGTATTGCAATGTTTCTGTTCCTGAGATTTGCACTGGCCTGCCTGACAGCACAGCCAGCCTGGTGACCTGACTTTTCTCTGCTGTGGTCAAGTAATACAGCTTGGTCATCTCTCCGCCACTGCCTGTGAGAGGACAGTAAAGGAGCAGCAGCAAACTCTAGATGTAACGCATTTGATTGGTTTCTGGTGCTGCCTCTCTCTCCCTCAGTCTGAGTCCACCTGTACTAGAGATCACAGGAGGCTGATGCCAAGTAATGTTTTTTTTAACTAAAAATTCTAATTTATTCATTTATGACATCACAAATTGTGCATTAGCATTCTTATTGCTAGAGGGTATCTACAGCGGCTATAAACGGCAATATTGGCTTTTACCTGCTTGACCTTTTTGGGTGCCTGATTTATGCTTTAAATAGCCATGATAGTAAAATGTCCCTCAGTTACACAAAGGGGAAGTTAAAAGAATACAAAATCATTCATCCCAGGTTCTCTTCCGTGCAGAAAACATGTTCATAGACTTTGGTAAGTGAGCAAAATGATTGTTTTATAAGAAGAAAGCTGGAAATGGTAAATATGCTGGTGAACAAGAGACTGCAGTGTGTTCCATTAATTGTTCACACCACTAGTTGTCACTGCAGTAACGTTAAACATTTGACCAAACCGAGTGTCTGCATCATAACGGTGGTCTCAGAGAGATGGAAACAGTTAACCTAAATACATTCTGGATATTTTACTTGTAGAATTGTTCTTTTCTGAAAAGGTAGTGCCTGCCTTTAAAGACCACTTGGTGAAAGGATTGTCAACCCTTTTGGCACTCAGGGGTTTAATCAGGTCCATTCTCAATAGCTGCAATCTGCACACAGGTCTTATAAGTATAAAATAGCACTGAGCTTGAAAGAGACGATTGTGGCTTTAAATGTCACTCATGGATTGAAGAACCTATTACTTTAGTTGCTGTGGGCTTATAAACTGATGTAAATAAATATATTTGCTAATGTTTTACAACATTTTATTCTATGTGTAGATTACCATTGTAAATGGGGCCATATGGGACATATTTGCAGATCACATATACAGGCTCTGATGATTTTTGCTAACCAGTGCTGATTGATGACCATGCCCCACTACCCTACTCAAGTCAAGGGGGTCTGTAAAATGAGGTGTTTATAGGCAACATGTGATCTATTCATAAACAGTTTGCAGAGCCACTCACCCTGCAAATCTCTGTGAACAATCGCTCTGTGTGAATAGAGGCAAAAACAAATGT